GGGCTTTTCCAATCAAGGCCATTCTGTGATATTCTGTGACATCTCAATAGCCACACAAGTGCTCACATCCTCCATCCTCCATCTTGTTACTCTTTCTCCAGTGTTTCATTGAGGTGGACCACAACCATGTGCTAAAATCTTCTAAGAGGTCTACCATGCATAGAGAGATCACAGAATCACAGAATGTTGGGGATTGGAAGGGACCTCAAAAGATCATCCAGTCCAACCCCCCCTGCCAGAGCAGGAACCTAAATGAGATCACACAGGAAGGCGTCCAGGCGGGTCTTGAATGTCTCCAGAGAAGGAGACTCCACACCCTCCCTGGGCAGCCTGTCCCAGGGCTCTGGCACCCTCACTGTAAGTGACCAAGACAAACATGAAACATCTTTTCCATGCAGACATGTTTTGCTGTAGGAGGAACACTCACAGGGTTTTTATTCAGCCAGGTTCCGTATCGTTACATCTCTCTCAAGCACACCAAGAGAAGAGGACTTCCGAGTTTGCTGCTACAGAGCTGATTCCCACCTCAGCTGTTAGTAGGGATTGTCTCGTACGTGCTCCATGATTTTTTTCAGACCCAGCCAGGTTTCCTCTGCAGTTGGGATAATTTGGTTGGCTGGTAGGAGGAAACCGTAGCGACCCGTGTCTCGCAGCTCAAAGGCAAAAGAGTATTTGATGCCGTAATCGTAGCTCCAGTCGATGCTGCCTCCACTGGCTTGGTCTGAAAGAGAAAAGGGGGAAGAGCCAGAGGGGTGAAGAGAAGATCCATTTGAGGTCCCCTGTCCTGCTTTCTATTTTTGTGAGTGTCTTCGGTTCGTGTGTTGGGGCTGGTTTTGGTAGTGGATGAAGGGAGGACATTGATGTCCCTGTGACAAGCTTCAAAGCTCACCTGGCTGCAAGGTGGACCTGCCTCCAGGCCAGGCTGAGCTAATAAGCGATGGGGGAACACCTCTTTGAATCAATATTCATGAGGGGAAGGACTATTTTGAAAAAGAAGAAGGAGGAGAGAACATGGAGGAGAAGCCATTGACCTGAAAAAAAGATGATCATCTGCCTAAACAAGCATTGTTGCCATGAGGAAGGAGGAGGAAGGGGAGGACAGAGACCCTCAGACACCCAGATCAGCACAGAGAAGAGTAGGAGAAGGTCAATGGGATCCCATGCAGCCCATGGAAATTCAATGGTGGAGCAGATACCCATGTGTAGGCCATGGAGGACTCCACACTAGAGCAGAAAGCTGAGCCTGAGGGCAGGTGTGACTCTGAGAGCTCATGATGAGCAAGAAGACCAGAGTGGGAGTGGACCCCCAGAGACAGGGGTTGAGGAGAGGCACTGGATTAGAGGCCCATCTGCAGCCCGTGGACATCCCTATGCTGGAGCTGGGAGCTGAGCCCAAAGAGATCCATGGGAAGCCCACGTTGGAACACTTCCTTCTTGGACTCTTGCAGCCCGTGGGAGGGACCTCATGCCAGAAAGAGCAGCAGAGACAAACTGACTGAACCCCCATTCCCTGTCCCCTGTGTCCCTGGGGGGAGAAGGTAGAGAAATGGGGAGCAAAGTGATTGGAGCCCGGGAAGAAGGGAGGGGTGGGGGAAGGTGCTGTCAGATCTGGTTGTTGTGTCTCACTGACCTTCTCTGATTCATTGGGAACAAATGAAATTGATTTTTCTTCCCCAAGTTGAGTCTGTTTTGCCCATAATTGGTGAGTGAGCCCTCCCTGTCCTCATTTGAACCCACCAGCCCTTTGTTGTGATTCTCTTCCCATCTCACTGGGTGGTGGGAGGTGAGTGCAGGAGCACATGGTCCTACCTGTGGCTGAAACCACCACAGTGAGGGACAAGGATTAGGTTTTTTACATGAATCCTCAGCTTTGATGTTTGACTGGTGGTGTCACTCTACAGAAGCATCACTGCTTCCAAGAGGGAGAGAGTTTGTGGAGAGGACAGAGATTGTTGCACTGGGTCATCCCATAAAAGCTCAGAGTAGCAAAATTACTCACAGATAGTAGTGCAGATGCTCCCCACTCTAAAGGTGGTGCCGTACAGGGAGCGGATGGCACTGGCAGCAGCTTTTCCCACAGCATCCTGGAGAGGAGAAGATGAAGGATGAGTCAGAAAGCAGCCATGCTTAATGAGATTAAAAGCTAAAATTTCATCACCCTGAACCATACTTGGGGAAATCTCCACAATCTGTCACTAAATCTCCAGTCCTTCCCACCCCACAATAAATTAGGGCCAAGTGAATCCATTTCTTAATCACTCATCCTAGTGACAGCACTCGCAGCTTCCACAGGATTTTGGGGAGGTGACATTGCAGGTGAATTAAATCTTAGCAGGTTCTCTATCTGATCACCCAGTGTTTCATCTCACCACCTGTCTTGTCAAGAGAAGGTTCAAAAGATACTAGAATATCCCAAGATATTCCAATATTCCAAGATATATATATCCAAGATATAAGATATATATCCAAGATATAAGATATATATATAAGATATATATCCAAGATATTCCAATGATCTTCCAATAGTCAGTGGTTGGCTTTGTCCTCACTTCAACTATGTAATGAGTGGTTGTAGAGAAAACAGAGCCAGGATCTCCTGGGAGGTGTAGGGCAAAAGGATGAGTGACAACAAACAAATTGCCAGGAGGGGAAAAAGAAAATCCTCATGACAATGGGGAAACAGGCTGCCCAGGGAGGGTGTGGAGTCTCCTTCTCTGGAGACATTCAAAACCCGCCTGGACACCTTCCTGTGTGATCTCATTGAGGTTCCTGCTCTGGCAGGGGGATTGGACTGGATGATCTTTCGAGGTCCCTTCCAATCCCCAACATTCTGTGATTCTGTGAAACTTTGGGAAGGTCTTGAAGAAGCTGTGGAATTTGATTTTAGAAATATCAAAACAAATCAAAACTCAGCTGGGCAAAGCCCTAAGCAACCCAATCCAACATTGATATCGGCTCTGATTCCAAAGCCTGCCAGATTTCAGCAGAGAGTTAAGACTAGAAACCTCCAGAGGTCTTTTCTATTTGAATGATGATTGTGAGATCCATGTCACCTCAGAGGTATTCTTACATGGATGAGCAAAATGGGTTGAGAATGGGTGGGGAGGGCATGTATTTGCCTATGACCAAGACTTTTCTCTGAAACACGTCGCATTGCACCGGGTTTTTGTTCACTTTCATGGTTGGTTACTGTTATGGATGGCATAGGTCAGCCTCTGGTTTTAATCTTGATGTCTCACTGTAATATTTGAGTATAGAAAGGCATCTGGATAGAACAGAAGCAGCTAAATCCAAGTGATTATGTCTCACCAGCTCAGCATAGTCTGCTGGTTCAGTGCATTTATAGCCATAAGGATACATCAGGAGCTGAGAGTAACTGTGGAGGGTGAGGAAGGCCTGGATGTTTCCATGATTCTTAATAAAGTTGACAATAGATTTAACTTCCACCTCTGAATTGGCACTGGGCCCATGATAAGATTCAGAACAGGGATTATTACTGGCTCCAGGACCTGTTGGTGCAAAGAGGGAACAAAGAGAAACCTGTAAGAACTGGTATTCATAGAAAGTCCAAGCCAGGCCTTCCTAAGAACAGGTCTTCAGCCAAAGGCAAGGCCTTAAGTGCTGATAAATGCTCAAACAGCAATGACAGGACAAGAGGAAATGGGCTCCAGTTGTGGCCAGGGCAGTTGAGATGGGATGTGAGGAAGAATTTCTTTGCTGCAAGGGTTCTGAGGCATTGGAAGGGGTTGCCCAGGGCAGTGGTGGAGTCCCCATCCCTGGAGGGATTGAAGAGTCGTGTAGACACAGTGCTGAGGGACATGGGTTAGTCATAGGGGACTGGTCAGTGTTGGGTTCATGATTGGACTTGGTGATCTTAAAGGGCTTTTCCAATTGAGGTAACTCTGGGATTCAGTGAATTGCTGGTCCTGTGTAACAGGATCCAAGAATATGAAAGGGAACTTTCTTCTTAGTGACAGCCAGAATCTAGAAACTTTATTCCTACCTCCAAAACCTGCATCCCAGTTTCGATTTGGATCAACTCCAACACACAAACTGCCTTGATTCTTGGAGCGGGTTTTCCGCCACATGCGATTCTAGAAAAAAAAACACCAAACCCCACACACACGAGTTTGAAAAGGAGCAAATCTCAGTCCTTGCATTAAAAGTAATACCCAGAAATAGTCACCATCCACCAAGAAGAGATCCAAGGCACGAGACTAAGATTATTTCTGATGGACTGACTGCTGAGATGAACCAATGGACAAAAATGGAAGGGCTGGTGAATTTAGAGAGGGTTAAGATGGGTTAGACAAGTAATTAGTATCTTTGGCTTCCCAACTCTTTTGTAACTCTTTACAGCATTAAGAAAATGAACTTTCAGAGCCTACTCATATTTATTGTTCACTTGGAAGAGCCTGACAGCTTTTTAAAATCAGCTCAGACACACAGCATGCTTACTCACTTTGGTGTGAGTGAACACGTATCCATCAGGGTTTGCGACTGCCAGCAGGAAAAGGTCCATTTTGTTCAGCAGAGAGGTGAGGGATGGATCCTTCCCATAGTCAGAGGCAATCTAAGCAGAGACAATATGGGACACCATGATTATCAGTGTATTGTTTTTCCCCTCATGCTTATGATCTAACAGGCCAGGTACAGGGCAGGGAAACAAGAAAGATTCATTATCTGCTGATCATAACTGCTCCTCGTTAGTCCTGGAGCTGGGAGAGAGAAATGAATCTGGTTTACTGTTTTATTCTGAAGGCAAGGAGTTAATGGAAGATGGCAACAAAGATTTTCTCCTGCCTGTCCCTGAGAATGGGCCAAGGCTGGTGCTATGATTGAGATGGATCAGCCAGGGTGGGAACACACAACTGTGCTTTGCTTCTCTGGTGGCTTAGTCATTTTCAGCAGAATTTAAATGTTCATTTATATAAAGCTGGAAGTTTTATCATAGAATCATAGAATCCCAGACTG